AAAAAAAAAGCTAGCTAATAATACTTATTGTATAGCTACAATAAACAAGCTGAACATGTGAGCTTCCAACACTGAATAAGAGATAACACTTCAATATGCTATACTAAAATGACTCTTTTTTTATCAAAAGAGCCTGACTCTGCTCGCATGGTACTCCTCTGTCATCCAACATGGCTGCTGCAAGTCATCGTGCAAGCGTTGGTCCTTAAAATTTACTCGTTCCTCCCATGTTCATGTTATGGCTTTATCTAAGACAGTTTCCTTAAAAGAACTAATTTTCGTGTATTCGTTAAAAAAACTAATGTAATATTATGTAAGACAGTTCCGATTGCGGCAAATAAAATTTCACAAGTGGCTTGGCTCAATTTGTTTTTGGCTAAAAGAGATTAAATGTTGTCTCCAGGTCAGCATGCGCAAATAAAAACCTTTAGATTGTGAAGACTGCCTAAATATTAAAGGAATTTGAAAAGTATAAAATAGTTTCAATAACGATTCCATTTCATCACAAATCAACAGTTTCATCGTTGTAAAGGATCTGCTTATCATAAGGGATTGTTGTCTGTTTTTTCTTTCTGTATATTACGTATGCTATAATCAATACCAGGGCAACGATAAATACCGCAGCTACAACTCCTCCAGCAATCTTTGCTGCCTGACTCTTGGATGTTTTTTTGTCTTGCCTGGCTTTTACTTTGGGATCTAGTAAATCAGAGAAATAAACGGCATTAGGAATTGCACGATTTATCAGCCTGGGAGAATCTTTTTATYTTTATTTATATTTTGCTACTTAAATTTTACATCACTCCCATAAGGGGTTCATCCATCCGTGGGGGGGGGGGGGGGGGGGGGGGACTCCTATACTGTATACCGAAGGACGTGGATGTTCGTCGGAAATTTGGAAAATAACCACAAAGAGGTACGCGAGTCCTGTCAGTGAGAAATAATGATTTCTTTCCCTAAACGGTACCAATTAATGAATTATCTATGATCTAAGTGGCAAAAGCCACTTAGATCATACATCGAAATGTATAATGTATATTCTGAATTACAACTGCCATTCTGACTGTCATCATATAATATCAGGAATCCTATTGCCTCAAAAGCACCCTRAGAGGTACTTACTCTCTTGTCCTTTTAGAATTGTGACACCCTTTGTGAGGTACCAAATTGCAGATCTCATGGAACCCTAAAAAGTACGACGAGCATCCCCGCCCTTCTCCAATCGAAATCCCCCCGGACAACCACTACACTCACTATTTACAACACACAACACTACACTCAACTGAAAGGTTGATTTTATGGAGAGAGGAAAACCGAACAACCCGCAGAAAGACCTTCGTGCCCAGGGAGAGAACCGACATCAAATAAACACAACTCACAAATATATGCGGTTCAGTCAATTATCGAGCCTGCGACTGATTAGAAACAGTTGCAACAAAATCTGAATGAGTGTGGCAAAAGTGGCATCATAGATCAACCTACCTTTTGGCTGCTTCTTATTGTTTAATGGGCTATGCTTTTCTAAGACAGAATCTGAAACAAAGTTCAAAAAGCACATTCAACAATAAAGTTGTGTCTTTATTTCAGAGGTTTCAGGAATGTGCTCATTACTAGCCGATACCTTCAACCTACCATGGGGCCGTACGGTCTTGAGAGAAAGATTGTTACTATTGATTCGAGTGGGTGTTTTAGAGTCTGAAACGAATTCGAAGTTAGAACATTAAATGCCGAGAAACTATAGTAAGAACGCAACATGGTGCTTTATAGAATATAATAAGAACGTCTATAAACTGGAAAGCTACTTTGCTTTATACAATAGTAAGAATGCCTATAAACTTGAAAGCAACTTGATGCTTTATAGAATCTTTTTTCACTAACTTCAAAACTGATTTGATGCAAGTAATCTTAGTACAAATCCGTCAATTTTCGCAGTTTTAAGATATTTTGCATATCAATTTAAAGATGGAAAAGACCAGCGTAGATTTTTAAAATACCAATAAACTAAATGTTTCAAAAAAATTTAGGTTTAAAAATAGACACTGGGAAACTGGCAAAAACGTAGACACACAAACCAGGATCACGTGAAGTAAATCAACCAATCACGACATTAAGTGGAAAGGAATCAAACTTCAAGCAAGCCTAAATTTAACCAATCAGGAGSAACTAAAGATGTCTCGATATTTTTAGAAAAACTTATGTTCTGAACAACCGTGGGAATGAGAGATTGTGATTGTCACTGAGGTCAATATGATACTGATTTTGCTCTCTCCTGATTAGATAAAGTTATTTTTTAATCTTAAATTTTGTCGTACTGAATAAGTGTTTTTTTAAAGACGTTTTTTAAATTGAGACTTATTAGAGAAAGTTAAAAAGAAAATAAAGAGGAACTATAAGGAAAAAATAAATAAATAAATAAAAAATAAAAAATACATAAATAGAAAACCTGTCCTGGAAAACCATCACTAATTAAATATTTTTCCCTCCGTCATCTGTAATAAGTTTTCCGTTTTGATTTTAACAAACAATTTACTTTGTGCCTCTAACTTTAGGGCTGTAGACTCCTTACCGGTCGGGTTAGCAGTAGACCGAACAGTAGACTGTCTCTTCACTGCAGGCCAGTTTTGTGCTCTCGGCCAGTGACTTTGTTTACAAATATCAACCGGCGAACTTCCAATGGGAAATTCCATGCACATTTCCTTGTCATAAAAGAAAGGTGATGAGCAGTTCTTGTGGAAAAAATTCTCACATTTCTGCCGGCAGTAAAAGGCAATAGTTTTGTCTATACACGCAGGGAAATTTTCGGTGCAAAAAAACCTTTTACGATCAAGAGGACAATCAACAGTTGAATTATCTTTTGGAACATTGCTCAACTTTCGGTTGGCGTATCCTATATAGGCCTTTTGCTTTTCGGTGTTCAGGACTGTGTATTCGTAACCAACGTTCTGGCATATTGGCACGACAAGTGGATAGCATTTAATAGGCTTTGTGATACCTGTAAAATATGAATTGAAAGGTTTTTACGTGTTAGGGACGTTTATGAGAAAAAGCGGGGAAAAAGCCTTCTCTCACTCAGTTATCTTGGCTGTGGTTCAAAATAGGTAGATATCAATCAAACGAGGCCTAAACAAAGGAATACTACTGAAGTTTTTTCTCGACAATTCCAGTTGTAAGATTTCAATCGCATTCTGTCACTCCATTCAAATTTGAAATGATAAATATTTATCATGTAAGGATATTTTTATCTAATCTTACAATACATCTTTTTAAAGATAATGTACTTGTCTGGAGAGGAAAAGTTATGACGTCAATTTTATATTTAAAAAAGAATATTATCCTAATACTACTATTAATGTGTAGCCAAGTAGTTTTATAGCCATAGTACATTTTTGAACATATTCATTACTGAGGTCAAGTTGGTTATAGCAATTCATCTCAATGTGTAGGACTGAAAGCCGTGGTGTTACATTAATTGATGAGCTATAAAAGACACCAGCAAATAGTAAATACATAATATTTAGTCTATTCTTCAAAAATAACTATGGGGAAAAGGTGAAACACTGAACTACATACTTTCCACAGTGAAGTTGGTCTTGAAGTTTGGAGGYTCAAAGCAACGACCAATGTACCCCAGGCTGGTTTGTGGATCATCTTTAACAGGTAGAAGTTGACACATACCAATGATCCACTCTAAACCATGCTTTTGAATCTTATCTCCACACTTGTCATTGAATTCATCACAAACTCTTCTACATGGTAGATATGGCCCGTCTATATTAGAAACACAACGTGGGATGTACACTGAACAGATTATCAAGTTAGCATACGCTGAACAAGATCCCATTAATCTGGAGACAGTGCCAACGGCTCTTACTGCAGTGTCTAAATGTGAGAGGTAATCGAAGTTAGCTGTTCTTTTGTACCCACATAACTTGTCAAGACCCATTTTTGAAGGAAAAGGTACGCAGATGTTAGATGAATTCTGTGACGAGCTTCGGCTTTCAAACACACACACCGCAAGAACACACCAAGCAAGCAGAGCTTTTAAATAACACCTATTAATAAGTTTACAAACAAATATCAAATTAATGATCATTTGATGACATATAATCCAGCTTGATTTTCACACCTCTAACTTGTACACTTGAATATAATTGCACTTCTGCAGACTAGTATAAAAGTATRAATCCTGACCAAGGTCAGTGTTTAAGTGTGTGTGCTTCCATGGCCTTCACATCCATGATATCAATGCAGAGTACTCACATGATGGGTTACGTTGATTACAGCGTTTTGAYCTGTTGCAGCTAATACTCTGTTGTTTTAGAGGTTTGGTAACTTGAGCTCCAGACTAGAAGTTGCATCAACAATCAAGTTTGCACGATACTCATGCTAAAAACTGTTCTTTTAGATGTACGCTTGGCTACTCTATATGCTAATTTTTGGACCTCAGGAAGGTGATTGGATAATTCAGCCCTCATTGATCAACGACGCGCTAACTCAAAGGGCTTTGTGCTAATAACAATGTTATGCTAACCTTGAATAAAACCGTAAAAGAAAACAAGCAGATTGATCTTTTGATTCAACAATGAGACAAAATATATCTATTTAGCTTTTATTGCTGATATATGCAACAGGAAGTACAACACATTGTGATTTTCAAAGAAATCTGTGGTAACCAAAGAATACGTGAGCGATGAAATGTGGAAATGCCAGACTTTGAATATGAATAGATCAACGAAGAGCATGGCTCGATAATTGAATTTTATTTAAACAAGTATTGAAGCATAACTCATTGATTAAAATGGGAAATGGCGAGAAAACTTATGCACGAGTGCCATGAGAACAAAAATAGAAAGAGAAGAAAATGGGACGGGTTTTTTCCAGAAAGTATTCAAAAATCCTAAAAGCATATTAAATAATGAGAAACTGGATTTTTATAGTATGCAAGCGTATCTTCTGATATTGACTGATATTAGAATTATGCAAGTTATGTCAGGAATGCAATTCTTTCGATTTCAAAAATCATACATCATGTACAGTTCACACTGAATTCTAGCAGGTTTATTTGTGAATTTGTTTCCAAATGTTCTAATGTTGCACTTGAATTGATCTTACACGAATCAAATTGTCAGAAAACCTTAAAGCAATGATAACTCTGCTGAACGCTCTTCTCTTAGCACACCGAGCACCATTGTGGTCCATTGTGGCGCCAGATGTATTAAGAAGAACAAAACGTAGTAGACGTTGAAACTATGATTTATTGCAACGTTATGTTACCACAGACAGGCTTTTGAAAAAAGGTCATGCTGCGTGGAGCTTGTTTTGAAGAAATAATCAGTTTTCAGTCTATCTTGCCGCTCCTAATCCGGTATTATGTCCTGGTTCCTTATCAGATGGCATTTCTCATGCAGTGGATCGCAACCTTATAAGCTTGTAAGCATYGTATAGCGCTTGATACGATACATAATTACTGGGGGAAAACTAGATGAAATAATAATAATAATAATAAAACTTTATTTAAAGAGGGGACACACAACAGTTACAATAAAACACATCGTACTGAAAACCCAGTGGCCCTCTGAAATAAACTGAAGCCCAGTCAGTAATCTTGAGTCCATGTTACTAAGGGGTGTTATGTGGTATTTTCACTTTACCCTGTTTGACTGAATATACCGTTAAAATCCCGTCAACATAGACCAATCAACGACTTTAAAAAGAAACCAGAAAAAGGTATTCGGTTCTAGGATTAAGTTTCGTCAAGAGTCCTTGCTTTCTAGGTTGAGGCCAAAAAGAACAGAGCAAATAGGAGATCAGTCAAAATGGCGCATCTTATAAAGTCATAACACACCTATGACTAGTCAATCCAGAAGTTCTCAAAAACATTTGGTATGGGATTAATTATGCATCAAGTCATACGAAACGTTCTAACTGATTTATTAGGTTCATTACTCACTTTTTTTTRCATAAAAAGCTATAAAAATACGTCGTTTGGCTTGTATCCTACATTACTTTGTTCAGTTGCAAAAGTATCGTTTTACCAGCACCCAATTTTATAATACTATATAAAGCTTTWTTTATAAAGAAAAGGCTGCCAAAATATGATGTCATATGATGTCATTTTTGGTACAAAACCTTTTTTCTTGGACTCATAGTACAAATAGATCCCGTTTTAAATTATTTTATTCTTTACCTTAGACAAGACAAGGGTTTACTCCACTACGAGAATGTACATTTAATCAGTTAAAATATTGTACATCGAAGTACCATCTTTCCAGTAAAACTTCTCGAGGTATCAAAAAGTTAAACTACCTCTAGTCCTCTTACGAGAACTTTAAAAATGAAGGAAACTTTCATTTTTTTAGCCATTGTAAAAAATGTGGCCAATCGAAAACCACAACTCATTTAACGATGAACACTCATTCTCTACCCGCTAGAATAAACGCATTCCGGCTTAATATTATCATAATTTTAAACGCATTTTGAAGTATTTATTTATGTACATGTCACGAGACAAAAGTCAAGTTCCCATTTACGCTTGGTGTTTTCTATCTTGGGTGTTCTTGCTGCCAAAACGACTGCCAACTTGTTTTCCAATCAGCGTTACGGCCTGACTCGAAACTCTCGACAATAGCCGCTTTCTTTTCCCATAGGGGTGTGTCTTTTGTAATGCATATAGCTTTAATGTAAGTATAGCACACCTAGGACTAAAAATAGGAATTTCGTGAGTACATAGTTTATGAGACAAGTCAAAAACAGAAGACAAAGTACTAAGCTTGCGTTGGGCTGCTGCATGTGACTTCTTTTCAATCATGTTGTTGGTGGCTTTTATTTTACTCCATCCAACATGGCGGCATTGTTCGGTGTTACTTCGTTTGCATGGAAATAACTGCACCTCAAGAATTCGACCAATATACCTCTTTGCCTTGGAAGTAATGTTTTCCAATTTCAGACCACGTGTCATTCCCAAGAGTACGTATCATTTCTTTGTTTAACAGTTGCGCACGAAAAGACACATAAATATAGATATAACTCAAACGAGGAATCTTATTTTCAAGAGAATGACATGGTGGTCTGAAGGGGAAAATATTACACCCAAGGTTAAGAGGGCTAAATTAATTTTTAGTAAAACCAAACTCATACTTTCCATCTTTAAACTTGGACTAAATTTAGTTCTTGTGGCCGGAATATTTAGGCAATTGAATTCTTCATAAAAGAATATTGGAATCCGATTCCCTCCAATATTTGATATTCAGTAATGTTTATTACATTTTAAAATCTTTGTAAACATAAATTTATTATGAAAACTGGCGAATTACTAGTGTATACTGACCCGCTTACGTTGGTATACTGAAGAAATAGAAAACGCGCGCGCGTTCTGTATGCAGTTATAAAGCACGCGGGGGTTGGCGGCATAACATGAGAGAAATGTTACGAGAGGCACGACCGCGCGTAGCAAATTGTTTCTCGACACTTCTCAAGTTTTATGCCAATCCCTAAGTTCTATATAATTCCACAGGGCAAGCAATTTTTTWAAATTTCTTTTATGAAATGCAAAATACAATAACTGTTATTTTGGATAAGAATGACGCAACTGAAAGTGCTCGCGTGTGCTGCGTGCTCTCATAATACACGCGCTCCCAACCAACTGAACGCGAGATTTAATTTATAACAGTTATTTTATGATAATAATTCATACCAGGCTTCTAAATGTAAGGAATACCATTGTACCAACTGCTAGTCCAAACGTCCAATGTGGTAAAGTCAATGAAGCCGATGAAAKAGCCTTTCCATTTTCTCCGAGATTCGAAGTACTCGAGGCATTCGAAGTAGGTCCTAGAGTAGTTCTTTGATAAGTTGATAATTTAGATGAAGAAGCTGTTTTGGGAAAATAATACAAAGTTGTTTTTTAATTCGCTACTAGCAAAATTTTCCTGGTATGTTCAAAGGGTTTTCTTCACCCAGGATCACAAGGCACAGGGGGCTGAGATGCATTCTCACATTTGTAGCCAGCAGGACATGGAGCACATTGAGGCACCTAGTTAAATGTAAGACAACAGAACATAGACACAAAATTTGGTGCAACCACATGATTTAAAACCCCTTGAGTTATTTTTTAACTAACTGGTATTATGGTATAATTCCTTGGCCAAACAATTCGACAAGAATTTTTATCCGCCAAAATTCAACAACAAATCCAAAATCCGATATTACGTACCTATTGGAAGAGTAGTTGTATGAGCTTGCCTAGCTGCAAACCAGTTTTCTGCTCGCGGCCATTGGGTCCTTTTACAAATTCCTATGGCCGAGTTTCCTTTAGGAAATTCCATGCAAATGTCTTTTTGGTAATTGAATGGAGGTGTACATTTCATGCTGAAGAATTCTTCACAATTCTTGCGACAGTACATTGCCAAGGTTTTGTTTATGCATGCAGGAAAGTATTCGGTGCAGAGGAATCTCTTGCGAGGCAGGGTACAGCCAATACTGTCATTTGTCTCTCGGTTTAACTCTGAGTCAATGAGTCTTATATTTGACTGCTGTCCCTCTGTACTAACGGTGGTATAGTTATACCCAATGTTTTGACACTTTGGTACAATGAGTGGATAGCACTTAAGAGAATGGGAGGCACCTAAAATGGTAATATTAACTGAGTCAAATTGGGTCAAAAAAATACTATTCACMTTTTTGTTTTATTGTGAAATTTTTGATTGATGCTAAAAAAATAATTAAAAAATTTTTGGATGTGGAAGATGAATAGGAAAGAAGGAAAGAGAGAGGGATGATAGAAGACTGGTGATGTAGAATAGGGATGGAGGGGACTGTAGATGTAGAATAGGGATGGAGGGGAGGGATGATAGAAGACTGTAAATGTARAACAGGGATGGAGGGGTGGGATGATAGAAGACTCCAGATGTAGAATAGGGATGGAGGGGAGGGATGATAGAAGGCGTAGATGTAGAATAGCGATGGAGGGGAGGGATGATAGAAGACTGTAAATGTAGAACAGGGATGGAAAGGAGGGATGATAAAAGACTGTAGATGTAGAATAGGGATGGAGGAGAAGGGTGATAGAAGACTGTGGATGTAGAATAGGGATGCAGGAGTGGGATGATAGAAGACTGGTGATCCTGGGGGAGGGGGGTACTCCCCTATATTCGCTTTATGGGTACGTGTTGCCAAACAGGGTATGGTTTTCAACAATTCTACTTTAGAGCAGGGTATATAAAATCTCATTCGCTCTGGGACAGGGTATATGRAATCACACTCTCTCCTCTCTGAAACAGGGTATCTATTTTTGTAATACCAGAACAGGCTTTTTTATATTCAATAAATCATCATTCAGCAAATCCAATTAACTTGCCATTTAATGCTTATATGCCATTAACAAATAAATGATTACACATCAAACGTCGGGCATGATTATACAGCAATCTTGCTCTGGGTTTGAATTATAGCGATTTTATTCTGGAACAGGGTCAGAGTTCAGAGGGTTCAGCTGCACGTCCCTACCCTAAACGGGCAAGAGCACCCCCRGGGTGGTGATGTAGCATAGGGATGCAGGAGAGGGATGATAGAAGACTTTAGATGTAGAATAGGGATGGAGGGTTTGAATTATAGCGATTTTATTCTGGAACAGGGTCAGAGTTCAGAGGGTTCAGCTGCACATCCCTACCCTAAACGGGCAAGAGCACCCCCGGGGTGGTGATGTAGCATAGGGATGCAGGAGAGGGATGATAGAAGACTTTAGATGTAGAATAGGGATGGAGGAGAGGGATGATAGAAGACGATGATAGAAGACTGTAGATGGAGAATAGGGATGGAGGAGAGGGATGATAGAAGAATGTAGATGTAGAATAGGAATGGAGGAGAGGGATGATATAATCAAGTCATTTTTGACATAACTCCCTCTCTTACCTAATAACTCATGACTAATATTTTTTTTAGTTGGGAGAACAGGAGAGAAAAAAGGAAAATGAAATACCCAATACCAAAGCTTTTTCAAATGAACATAYATGAACAAAAATCTTTTAAAAAATCCTGGATCCATCCCTGTATTAGTATAATATGGTGTTTTATAAAATAAATATTTTTTCAGAACTCATAAAAAGATATCGACGAAATATCTAAAATGTTTTTGAAAAGGATTGAATATTGTAAGGTAGAACTATTTATGAAATGATGGTAATTAGTACTATATTTCAAGGAATAAGCTTAGTGTTTAAGTTATTACTTGATCCTTGGTGGATTATTTCGTTGGAACTGGAGATTATTGTAGACGAAAGCATATAATGAGTAATGATTTGTACAGACAGATAGTAATGTTGCTTGTTTTAGTGCGGATAAAAAATAGAGTACTTACCATCGTCGGGTAAATTGGTATTAAACCCAGGAGGCTCAAAGCAGCGATCAAGATAGCCAGAATAAGGATTATCCTTCTTTGGCAAAAGTTTGCACATTCCAAAGACCATCTCTAAATTATATTTTTGAATCTTATCTCCACACTTGTCATTGAATTCATCACAAACTCTTCTACATGGTAGATATGGTCCGTCTATATTGGACACACAACGTGGGATGTACACTGAACAGATCATCAAGTTAGCATACGCTGAACAAGAATTGAATAATTTAATCAACGCTCTCACAGTCTTTACTGCCGTATCAAAATGTGATTGATGCAGAAATTTTACAGTTGTTCCATATCCACAAAGCTGATCCACAGTTTCGTTATAACGAGTACACACATTCAGAGACGAACTTGGTTTGAAACCAAACATTGCCAAAGCAAGACAGATGGCGAAGGATTTGATAGAGCACCTGTTAAGTCAACAAACAAATAATTTACCAAATAGCAAAGAATTCATCTCGAATTTCACACATAAAACTTGTGAACTCGATATTATTTAAACAAAAGACCTTAAATTGCCAACAGAAATGTCCAAACTTCGACTAAACGACAGTTAGCCAAAACAAAATACTTACATTTTAAAATTTCCCAGGGAATTTCACAGAGTTTTAAGTTTCTTAATCTGTTTACTTGCCAATATTTTGTTTGCTTATGGGATTGTGAAATCTGAATATCATCATTGACTTCCTGAACGTGTTTTTTTTGAGAGAAATTCGGTAACAACCTTTTCATGAATCATCGATGAAACATTTACTCGCTCAACCTGCTTGCTTACTGTTATGCAAATGAACCAATCTCATAAAGGCTTACAGTATTATTTATGGTTGTTCATGTGTTGCGAAAACTTTCTTTTGTTCAAAARACTTTGTTATTCATATCCAAACGTTATGTAAATGATTATAAACAAATCAAATATTGAATATTTGTACGTTTTCGTTGACCATGGATTATATGCTGAGTTTATCATGACAGAGCTCGTGCATGTCTATATACCTGTTACCACAACACCACAGGTAGTCCAAGCGTAGTTTTAGATTAAAAAGTTAACAATTTGTGTTCACAGGCATTTTACACCGGCCATGTAGAAAAACGTTTTGGTCGATTGGGTCGGCGAAATTACAAAAAAAGACACATACTAGAGAGAAGACTAGAGAGGAAAATATAAAGTTGGTTGGAAAAAGTAAACAAAACTTGTTTATTATTTCTATCAATATAAAAATTTAGTGACGCATATAACATTTGTTAATCAAAGAATTCGATAAAAGGTTGGGGGTTG